TCTGTCCTCAAAGGACATGTCTCATTTTCTCAAGAGGATCCTTGAGAGGATACTGTTTATTTTCCCTGCCTGCTGTTTACTCAGTTCTCTGTTTAGTTAGCAAAAGAACGATTTGTACCATCATTACTGTTTAGAAATGAAGCACCTTCTCCAATCTTCTCTGACTTGTTTAGAGGTCCTGTGATTTTGAACTTTTTCTCCGAGGTATGCATGCAAAAATAATGGCGTAACGTAAACAGAACTGAAAACGACCTCCTTCGCGTGTTCATGTTTACCTTTTTGTCTTTTTTTAAAATAGCAAAGTGTCAGACAATGGCAGGTGAGACATGGCATTGGTCTAAATGGAGTCATAGACTAGTCTCATGAAAAAAACTACATTCTTTATATTTTTTTTCTTTTTACAACAAAAATAATACCCTAGAACACACACTTTTTTTTTTTTTTTGCTGAATTTTAATTTACAACTTATTAGGACATATTTAAAAGTAACAAATACATTATTTGCAAAAAAATTAATAGCAAATGTTGACATTGTATTTGTAATGTAGGTTTTTACACAATGTTATATTTCAACATTTATTAGCCTTATATTTTGTTTAATATTTTATATTTATGGATTATTTGTATGGTATCTATGAGCATATTTGACTTTGTTTTCTTTAAACCACTGTATATGGAATATGTGGAACTTCAAGAAGTATAAATACCCTGTTCTCTTTTCCACATCTACTTTTTTTACATCTCATAATATATACATTTGTAGCTGCAAAGTTGATTTCTTTACCCTTTCCTCCTGGATGATCTATTGCCCAGCTAGCCTTCAATGTACATGGTTTTTGTTAACACTGCATACTTTTGATTAGCTTAATTGCTTAAGGTAGTATGTGGCAACAGAGAGATGTCTGTTAGTATTCCTATACAAGGATTGTTTTATTTCCACAAGATATTTCATAATAAGTGACCACAACAATCAACTCAAAAATCCCACACTACAGAGAAAGTCATTCACCAAAACAGAGACAAGTAATCCACTGATTTATTAAATCCTAATTTCACTCTACAGCCAAAAATGTTGCAAAAATGCTTTTTGTCCCTTTTTGACCCATATCTTTTTTTCATTGCAGTTTTTTAAAAAAATATATATATTTTTCATATCAGACTACTTCCATACATTGAACATTTCGTTTTTCAAAGCAGCTTAAGTGTAATCAGTCACATTGCATTTCATGCAGTTTCTACGTCAGTGTGTATGACATCACCCTACCATTTTAAACATGAGGATTCTGGCAAAGCCTTGATCAAATGTAAACAGTGGATAAACTGAGCATGGCCAATGCAGAAGTGACTGCTACTTGATTTAATAATTGCATGCTCACACAGTTATTTGGAGTTGTGCTTCATTCCACATGTCTAGAGCTAATAACATTAACATGCTGATGATGTAACCAGTCGATGTCCTTCAAATTAAATGTGCTGGCACAACAGTATTTATGAACATTACAATAGACACAGTTGCTGGAGCTAAGTTGTTAAAATTGTTGTTTGCACAACAATTTTTAGAATAGAAACTCACTAACACGTGCAGCATAAATTTTTATTCATGTAAACAAAATGAGCTGCTTGTAATATCAGGTATCCCTATGCGAATGCAAATTGAAGTTGTAGACTGATCACACTGAAATCTGATGGAGGTTGCGCTAAATTGATAATGTGAAAAACTACAAAGAATTTTTTGTGTGTTATTGAAAGTTGATTTACAAAAAAAAGCAAAATGTGGTCAATTTGTCCTCAGCCAGTAATTTTAAATTGTTCAGGAAAAAAAAAAAAGTGTCAAAAAACGTGAGGTAATAACTCGGCTCCTTGATGGAAGTCTCATAGGATCAGTGGGTGGTTCTTTAGTGTGTCAGGATGGATTACATTCACAATGCTAATCTAATTCAGATAAGAGTGTCCCAGACCACCCCTGAGGATGGTCAAAGGGAAAATGCTCTCTGATTGCCTTCACACTTCCAATCAGTGAGCAAAAGTCCATGTGACACAAAATTCAAAGTAAAATGTAATGTCAAAAACTTCGGATAAACATTTACAAATTGAATTAATTTTTTGTGAGAGAAAATTACATATTTCTCTCACAAACCCCTTAATTATTAACTTATCCGAGTTAATATTTCCTGCAAAACATAGACTTTTACATGTACGGGGGACATTTTCTGCCATAATCCAAGAGCACACATTTTCAGTCTGAAAGCAGGATTTCAAGACTTTTGTTGCTTACATAATTATTTTGAAAACAGGACTTCATATCTTTATTCTCAAACCTTGTAATCCTTGCACTCAAAACGTCTCTTCGCGTTCAGACTTAGTCTCTGCTCGGAGCAAATCTTTGCTTGCAAAACTCTCTGCTCGCTTAGTGGAATTTTTCTGCCATAATTCTAGAGCACACATTTTCAGACTGCAAACAGGATTTCATGGCTTTTGTTCTCAAAACTTCAATTTTTTTTTATAGATGTACTATTTCTCTTGATTACATTTATAGTTTTGGTCATATTTACTTCATGACTCCCTTATTTCAAACAGTTTGAAAAAGGTTGCACTTATACTTATTTAAACTGTGTTTAAATAAGTATAAGTGAATGGTTCATTTAAAGAGGTCTGAAAAACAAGCACGAAGAACATCAAGTCTCATGCAAGGCACATTTTCTCTGTTCACATTGCTTAGCCAAAACAGCTGCTGTGCTCTTATTTCTTTTTCCAGGGACAATGAAATGTATATGTGTGTGGATATATCTTCTATGTTTACATGTGTGGCTGTCTGCATGTGTGGCTGTGGGCTGCTCTACCACATGTGAGTGTGTTTTATGGTTCCAGAGGGAGTTAAGGTTAATGCAGTAAAACAACCTTCCTCGTGCCCAGTGTCTGCTTAAAGAGAGGATTTACTGTGCATGTAGTCAGGAAAAGGTTTAGAGCAAACGGGCTACGGTGAAGGGTGAAGTTCTTTTCAGTGGTTTAGGTTGTTATGGTGTGAGTTCTAATTTCAAAGCCACCGACTTTCACTAAGAGACGCAGTTGCTTTTATGCGAGTTTCATTTGTATGCTACAAGCGATGATTAATCAGCAACACCAAGAAAGAAAGCGAATTCATGGTGAGATCCTAAACATTATATAAGCTCTTAAATATTCTGCTTTCTTCTATCAGCTCTTAAAGCTCGTCAAGATTTTTGTTTTTGTTTTGTTTAGTTTTTTTTTTTTCACAATGTTAGAGGTGAATTGTTTTGAGTAATACTGTCAACTTAAATTTCCAAAGATTAAAAAAAAAAAAAAAGCAATGTGATCCACTGGTGGCAAGTATGGTCTGAAAAATATCTCATGTCAAGAAGAACACTGAAGTAACCATATAATGATGTAGCAAAATGTAAGGAGGTATCATTATACATTTCCCTGGCACATATAGTGCCATTTTATAGCACAGTCAAGTAATTATATTACCTTCAGCTTTTATAAATATGCCGTATATGTTAAACACAACTTGAAATTGGCTTCTGTCTAATCAAACGAAACTCTAAACAAATGGGGTTTTAGCCTTGATGTAAAGGAACTCGGTGTTTCAGCAGACTTGCAGTTTAGCTTATTCCAGATTGGGGGAACATAGAAGCTCTATGTTTCTTCTCCATGTTTGGTTCTGATTCTGGAGATGCGGCATAGACTAGAACCAGAAGACCTGAGTGGTCTGGAAGGTTGATAAAATGAAAACGCAACTCAATGTATTTTGGTGCCAAACCATCCAATGATTTATGAAATAAGAAAAGTATTAGAACTGGGGGTGATGTGCTCTACATAACTGTAATTGTGTCGTGACTATCACAATGTATTAACATACAGTTAATTCTGTCAGTCTTTGCCTGGTTTCTCTTGGAAAAGAGATTGGTAATCTCAATGAGACATACTTGGTTAAATAAAGGTTGCATATATGTATACATATGTGCATCTTTTGTGCATATATATACACAAAAGATGTATATATATATATATATATATATATATATATATATATATATATATATATATATATATATGCACAAAAGATGCACATAAAATTTACCTGGCCATTTATTTAATCTTTATTGAAGTTAAATCCTACCTGTCAAGGCAGACCCATTTCAATATATGAAAAACATCTTTCTTAAAAAAAAAATAAATAAATAAAGTCTATAGTGCCATTTAATAGTTATTCTACTAAATATTTTTCTACTAAAATTGTAGATGCATCTAACAATTTGCAAAGATTGTGCTTATCAGAATTAATTAAATTGACTGGAATCATGACTGCTGGTTTGTATATTACAATATGAATTGCAAACCAGAGGTAAAAAAAAGAAGAAAAAAGTATTGTGAAGTTCAGTTGGATCTTGGTACAATGACTCATCTCTGTAGATAAAGCAGTGCTGGCACTGATCACTTTAAGGATCTATTCAGTCAAGCACAGAAAAGCCATCACAATCTGTATCTTTTGCTAATTGAAGATCACTTAACAACACTGCCTCAAGGCTTTTAAGCCAATGAGACGGCATTGATTTTTGTCCCTTTTTCTTCCAGGATCCTTCTTTCACCTCCCCTCTGCTGCAAGGTTTAATTGCACACAGGAGATATTTGCTCCCATTGCCAAATGTGCACATGTGCCCTTTACCTCCATGATGTAGTGGAATGTTCTAAATTTACTGTCAGCCCTCCAGGCACTAAATCACTCATTGTGACTGTTTTTACTTCATCACGTCTCTGTCTTTATGTACACCTTTGCATTTACGTTAGTCACTTATCTGACAACCAAAACAGCATTCTCTGTCTGAGACAGATCCCGGAAATCTCTTAGTTCACTTGCTTTTAATACTTTCAAATTTGTAGGTGGATCAGTGAGGGATTTGCAAGCCACCCTGTAGCTTCACCCACACATTCATACATTCTCCTTGCTTAGCAGGTGTGTGTGTGCTGTGCTCTCTCCACAGGTGGACAAGGTGTGTGGCCTGTCTACACGGGAACCCCCAGGCATGTGGTCTATGAGACCAGAGGTCACAACCTCTTCCACAACCTTAACTTCACCTTCTCCATCTGCCTCCTCCTCCTCCTCCTCCTCCTCCCATAATTTACCAGTAGAGAGGCTAGCAAGGTTTGCCCACTTAAAAAGGTAGGCAAAAGCTTTGAGTTAATGTGAAACAAACTTAAGAAATGCTTGACTATCTTACCTTTTGCATATATTCACTGTACTGTTAGATTTGTCATAGATTAAGGGGTTGGATATCATTGATCCAAAACTATTACAGCTTCCGTCACTTCACACTGTTCTCCAGTGTTTAGTTGGATTCAAAAGCACGCGCACACACACACACACACACACACACACACACACACACACACACACACACACGCCCACACACACACCTACACACACAGACAAAAGTAACTTCTCTCCAGCACCACCCATACTCCCCACCTGGTTCCTGGAGCAACCATCGTGTGCCCACAGCAGCTGGTAGGCAGGCGCAGCCGTGGTAAGATTAATCTTGACAGACCACACAATTTCCTGTTTACCCAGACGACCACACCACCAGCACTGCATGCCAGCCAGTGCCGCATTGGAAAGCACACACAGATGAACTAAAGCACTGTTGAGTGCTTGACCTCGTCCCACTCTGTGAATCGCTGCGCTGATGCCAAGCCTAGCTGTCACGGCTGGCATGGCACTGCCTCTGCCGTTCATAGCAACAGAGTCGAGTTCGCCCGCTTGTTGCCAGATCTGACCAGAGCTCGTGTGAGCCCTGGAGACTTCAAAGCCACAGCAGCAGCAAAAGAAGAATAATGGTTGGAAAATGTGAAAGATGATAGAGCATAGCTTTTTTTTTTCTTTTTTGTACAAAGAAAGTAAATCAAAACATCCAGCAGTACTTTGTCTTAATTGTGCATTTCAACTGTTTGCACATGTGCTGATATGTGTTTGAGTGGATTTATGAATTATATTCCATTTTCTGTTTTATTTTCCTGTTATTTTGGTTGAAATTGGTTATTAAGTCATACTTGGTTTGACAAGTCTCTGCATGTGCATAAATAATCACTTTCTACCACAGTCAGTCGAGTGTACTTTGTTCATCTTCCCTTCATCCCCTGTCATGCCAACCTTTTTTTTTCTTGTTTATCTCTCCATGCCCCCTTTTCACCTCCCTGCATCCTCCTCCTTCCAATTCCCATTATTCCCAGTTCATTCCCTCTGAAGCCCTCCAAGAGCAATAATCCTAATCTGAGAACACTCTCTAGGTAAGCATAAACCCAAGGAATTGTTTTTCCTCGTTTATTTATTCAATATTATGAGATACCTGCAAAAGAAACAGTTTCTTTCAAAATAACATTTTCAGTTTGGTTACATTCTAAATACAATTTTCTTTCTTACATTGTTTGTGATAGATTAACCTAAAGGATATGAAAAAAAAATGTATAATGCATTTCTTTTCAGTAACCCTGAAACTCTTGCATAAAATTGTGTGCAACTAATTGACTTGAGAAGTTTGCTTGATTGTTAAAGAATCCATCATGTGCAAGTATGAGCAAACACCATCAGGAACACACCAAACATGTCGAGGATAAAGGATAAAGTTGTTGGCACTTTTAAAGCAGAGTGGGGTTGCATTAACAGTTTCTCAAACTTTAAAGTGTATGGCATGTTTCTATTAGTACTATTCGTTTAAGTATTTCTCAACTCAGATTGAAATTCTTGCCCATTATTCTTTGCAAAATAATTAAAGTTCAATCTGATTGGATAGATAGTTTTTGTGACCAAGAGTCTTCAGCTTTTGTCCAGATATTCAATTGGGGTTTTGTCTGTACTTTGAGTTCACTATTCTAACATATAACCCTTGATCCATTATAGATCAGTCTGTATCTCTAGCAGCTTTTCTATTGGAAGCAATCCTTCACTCCAGTCTTAAGTCTTTTGCACCCTCTAATGTTTTTTTTTTTTTTTTTTTCCTCAGGATTACCCTGTTTTTAGTTCCACCTCCCATCATCTCTGACCTGTTTTATTTTCCATATTGAATAAATTATTCACACAACACGATGCTGCCACATATTTCACTGGGAAGATAAGAGTTTGGAGATTATTTGACATTTTAGTTTTATTTTGTGTCTAGCATTAAATGTGCAATTTCAGAATTTGATTCAGAGTCACATTTATTGAACTAGCTTGTAGACAAACACATAGTGAATGTGGGAATTCTTAATATACAGAGATTTTAAATTATATTTCCATTTGCTGGAGAAAATAAATATTTGAGAAATTCTGATACTTTCTTTTAACTGCATCTTTTTTGCCAATCTTTAATAATGGTCAAACTTGTGGAGTGCATAAGAAATAGTTGACCTGCCAACAAGTTACCCCGTCGAATATGTGCATTTCTACAACTCGGGTGTCCTCAGAGTTGGTATAATGCCTTGTTGTTTTGGTTATGCCATATTCGTTTTTATTTTTAGATGATAATTTGAATAATGCTCCTTTAGTTGCTCAAAGTTTGAGTTGTTTTATTACTTTACGCTTCATAAAAACCTTATTCTTTACCTCCCTTGTGGTAGGTCAGTGACGCAGTTTGTTCACAAATGTTTGTTCAAAAATGTCCACATATTAGGTGAAATCAGAAGGAAAACAGTTTAAGAGATTTTATTTAGGGTCTCAGAGTAACGGAGAATAGAAATAGAAGCACTTTTTGTCAGTAAAATAATTAGAAAACTACCAAACATTTTCTATGCACTTCAGATTTTGCACTTGAAACACAACAAACTATGAAAGAATTCAAGGAAAATGACTAGAATTTTGAAACGTGTCACATCTAAAAACCTTTCTCTGGCTGTCTTAGCACCTAACCCGTCATTTTTGCTTCTCATTATGGGCTTAGACAATCGGAGTCAGGTCAAAAAGTTCTGCCTTTGCTTTGCAAAAGATGACAGTAACTATATTGATAGCATCTGTTGGCAGATCTGGTGAAGCCCTACACAGTGCAACTAAGAAAATGTGCTGATGCAGTCACATTCAGGGGCTGTCGTTTCTGCCACTGTCAATATCATCGCTTGTATTTATCACATGCATGCCTTGTCAGAAAAATATTAAACTAGCGTTTGTTGTTACTTCAACTATTCCAGAGCACAGTGGCAGATATTCAGGCTCTTCATGGTATCATTTTGCAGATGACTCTTTGTAAATTCTGTTTTTTTTTTTTTTGTTTGTTTTTTCTTTAAGTCATTGTCATATAGTAATAATAATCATTCTATTGACTCTCCGTTTTTCCATTAGGGAGTTCTTAGGCCAACTGCAGCGCTATAAAACCTTCTTCAATACATTGCCAGAGCTGCTGTGTGATGGGGAGCAAACAATGGACGACTCCACCTGCTGGGGCGGCGACGGTGTTGTAGAAAGGTAAGGGAAATCTTTCTAGTGTCTCCATTGTTTGCATCACTGATTAACTTGTGTTTTCAGCGACAAAGCACAAACCTGCTTTCTATGTTTGACACACAAAATAACATCACTTGTGGTATAACTTCTAATTTGTGATTTAACTTTTCTTGAAAGTTAAATGCTTAACAGCTAGCTGTGGCAATAATTTTTAATATCTTGATTTGGGGGTTCAAGGAGGAGGGTTTGAAAATTGTCAGGCTGAGAGTCAGTGTGACTGGCTGCTGTTGATCACTGTGCAAATAAGGAAGTTATTATTATCCATCTCCCTATTGACTGAATGCTGGCAGGACGAAAAGTCATAAGGCTCTGGTTTTCTTTGTGTTTGTGTCAGTGATTGAATTGTTTTCTGCTGAGATTTTTATTTCTGTGCTGATTTATAGATGTAGCCTTGGAACTGTTTTCCTGCTGATGGTTTTGGGCGCATCTCTAAGAGACCAGAGGGCTTGCTCAGTGTGTGGCTCTCCTGCCTCTCACTCAGCATATGAAGAAAATTATGCCAATTACTCAGCCAACTCAAATCTGTAATTGATTCTGAATTCTGGATCAGTTTCTTAAACACTCTTGAAACTACCTCCACAGCTATGACAAGGTCACGCTCTCCAATTTTTAACAACCACAGGAACTTCAGTTCAATTGGTACTGCCAGAACACACAGAAAAATATACAGATCCCATGGATTCATTTTCCCCTTGTGTGTGTGTGTGACTTTATCATTTTGCCCTTGTTCAACATCCGGGTCTGGCCTGACTTTACTTATGTATTTGGTAAGACAATGTGGTCAGCAAGAGATGCACTGGATGTTGGTTTTTATTGTGGTTAGTGACTGGTTACAATTTCCGTCTTTTCCCCCTCATTCTCTTCCACCTAATATATTTGTTAAGACATCTGATGCATTGCAAAAGTATTCATGGCCCTTGGCCTTTTTTATCCTTTCCTTTACTCTGGTGCCCCTAAATAATACTGTTTTGCTTAGGTTTATGTGGTTTGCAAAAGAGCATTGGTGAGCACACAGCATTACGGAGTTAAAGGAACATACAATTTGGGTCATGAATAAAGTCGTGACATCTCAATCTTTGGACATTTCACAGAACATTATTCAATTCATTTGAAAATGGAAATAGTATGGTAACAATCACACATTTACCAAAATAGGGTTGTCTATTTAAACTAACAACCTTGGCAAGAAGAACATTAGTCAGAGAAGCAGTTATGCGACCTTTGGAGACTCTGTGCTTGCAGAAATCCACAGGTTAGGTGGGTAAATCTTTTGCTCTGCCAATAGTTCTCTCTGTTTTGGAGGAGTGGTAAGAAGAAAGCATTTTGAAAATAAATCCAGTATTTAAAAAAAATTGGCTCTAGCCATAATGGGGACACAGGAAACAATTGAAGAATGGGTTAGGGTAGGGTTAGGGTTAAGTTAAGTTTCCCAGTGATGAAGCATGGTGGTGGCAGGGGTATGCTGTGGAGATGCTTTTTCTTTGGCAGGGGTACATACTCTTGCAAGGTAATCTATTGAACATACTACCAGTTAACTGGGCCTGTGCCAAGATTTTAGTACACAGTGATAAAAATATTATATCTGCTTTGGAGATTTGTGATTTAAAGACCTATAAAGAAGGGAGAATGGGGGCATCTACATTTATTTATCAACTTATGCAAAAGAGAAATACAGCAAGTTCCCTCCTTTGTCTTTATGAACAACCGGTCGTGAATTGAGTTTGTGTCATTTACTCCCAAGTGTGTTGGTTTTTCATTAACTGTACTACAGAGCTGTAACAGTGTGTTATCACACACTCCCTGCTGATTGCCAGGTCGTTGCTTGTGGTGTCAAGTGTTTCTGGTTTGAATGAGAAAACAGTGCCCCACTGAGACATTTGGCAACACTCACAAGCCTCGCTCCTTCGGTTACTCTCTTTCCCTGTATCTGACTCTGTTGGCATTCATGACAGAGAAAGGAGGACAGAGCAGGGCATGATAAAAGAGTCGTCATTTTGGTGCCGTGGTGCCCCCTTTGCGTTGGGGTGCCCCTGATGAGGCAAGCATGTTGGAGTGAAAGTGTGGAGGGGGGCCTTGGCAACATAAAGACCCATTGTGGAGTCAGTAGAGTGGGGCACAATCCCGCTGTGGAGACCCCCAAAGCGTGGAGGGGGAACAAAGGCCCTCCTATGAGTCTGCATGGGAAAGACTCGGACATCAGTGACATAACTTCTCCCACTGCTTGGACCTTTCTTGGGAAAGCTACGTCAGAACAGCAGCAACACAACCAAAAGAAGCAATGGTGTTAAGCAAAAACAAGAAACACATTAGGAAGATTTGAATGCGGCAGAGACTAACAAATCACATCAGCAGGAAGCAGATCCAAAACAGAGATGCAAAGGTGTGAGTCCACACCAGTCCTCCAATGACATGCTGGGCTTTCCCTAAGCAAGAGATGCATCAATCCACATGGGATCCATAAGCTTGTGAACAGCTGGGAGGTTATTCACAAGGGCTCAGATGAGGAGCATGCATCCGCAGACAGACACACAATTTAAACTTCAAAGCACATGAAAGACTTTTGAGGTTGAAATCCCCTTCTTCTCTTCATCCAACATTTGATGACAGAGTTGTGAACGGGGTACCAGCAGCTGTAAAGGGCATCTCGACATCTGCTGACATCTCTCAACATTTATACCATCATAGGTTGTAGTTTTTTGTGTGTGTGTGTGTGTGTTGCATGTTTTCAGGAACATCAGAATCAAAATTATTACTTTCCATTTTTAAATTAGTGAGGATTTTTTTTTTTTTTCTGTAGATTTTTAGAACAAATTATGACTTATAAATTGGGCCAGTTCTTCTCTTTTTGTGGCACTTTGGAAGTGGCAGTGTTTATTTTTTAACTAATCCTATAGATCTAAAATTTATAAAGACAGTTTTGTTGGACAGCTTTTTTTTTTACTGTTTATTCAATACTACATGACTGTTTCTGTTTTTAATGTTGTAAAGTACTTTGAAATGCCTTGCTGCTGAAATGTGCTATACAAATAAAATTTGATTGATTGATTGATTGATTGATTGATTGATTGATTGATTGATTGATTGATTGATTGATTGATTGATTGATTGATTGATTGATTGATTGGTTGGTTGGTTGGTTGGTTGGTCCCGTTTCAGCTTTGAAGTACTATATGAGTCACTTTGGATGAGACTGCATTTCACATGGTGCTTTTGCATGGGCACAAGGGTGCAGAATTCACAGTTTTTGCTGTATTCAGACAGAATATGTAAGTTTTGGAGTGACATCAAGCAAAATAACTATTTTATTTTGTTTTCCATGTTAAAATATCAACTGACATAAAAAGGGTGAAAGTTAAATGCTCATTGAGTCCCCCCAATTAGCACTTGGAAATGCCTGGTTACTGAAAAGTGCTTTACAAATAAAATTTGATTGATAAATATTACCAAATTATCTAATCAGAAAGTTATTCTTTTGAATTATGCAATCATCTTCTTTACTTTGTTGATGTTGAAGATGGGATGGATGTTCCCACACTATGGCACAAGGCAGTGCACACATTCTCTGCACTTGGCTGCTTGCCCATCTCTGATACAAATGTAGAGTCATCAGAGTTTTTCTGCAGATAACATGACTCTTACTTGTGCTGGATGTTTGAGGTGTACAGAGTGAAAAGGAATTGTGAAAGTATTGTCCCCTGTGGTGTTTCTGTCAGTGCTTTGAAAGGCAGAATTTTCCAAAGCACATGATCCTTTACCGGGTTCATGTTAAGGTTGAAGAGTTACTGCAGAATGCCGAAGAGTTTGTTCATATTTGCTGTAAGCGCATGGGGCCAAGACCTTTTAGACCTGCAGCCTTGTTCTGGTTCTATCTCACCTCTCCACCTGGGACAGACAGAAAAACATGGGGGAGGAAGAGACCCCTGGCTCATCTGCTGATTTGATTGAAGAAAAAGATGCAGAGTACAAAAAAAGATCCATGACTGAGGTTAAAGATAAATCATTAGAAGTGTGACAGGAAGGCTTGGGATCAAGAGAGAACCAAGTTGGCTTTGGTTGTTCCTGAACTGATTCTATTGAAGAATGTGTTGGTACTGTCCAGACTACCGTTTCCCTCCCTGCTTTCCTGGGTGTCACACTCCTGGGGGATATTTTAACGCTCGCATGAAAACGTGAGACTGGTGACGGGATCCAACACTCAGTCTTTCCACGGTTTTAGATTGCCATCGTTCAATTTCTCCAGACCTGCTTTGTCTGCGCTGAAGCTGCCTGCCTCCTTTTTCTCTCCCGTTCTCGGTGTTCGTTGAAACACAACACCAGCTTTGAGTGAGGCCAGCTGATCTAACGTCAGGCTCTAACATTACCCATTATAATCAATGGAATGGTTTAAACTCCCCCCCCACACACCTCCTTACCTCTTCTCCTTGATCTGTTCAGTATTCTCAATAGCTTATTACAAGCAAAAAAAAAAGTCTTCAGCATAACAATTGTCCAAACAGCAAGTAGAGGCAAGACTCTTCCTTCAAACTGCACAATTTCTCAGTTTCAACGGCTTTTTAAAAGGAGAGTCAAAACAAAATTTGCAACACTTATTCCAATAATCTGCCACCTTATGAAATGGTGGAGGTCTAGAATACAGTAGATTACATTCCTCTGGGTATTTTGATCTGTGCAGGAGGACACATTTATTGCACAAATGAGCAAGTGATTATTTTGATTTTTTTTTTCTTTTTCTTTCTTAATGTTTGTGTATAATGTGAAACGGATGTTTAGAGTAATTTAACACTTCAACCATGTGGAATTGAAATTTATTCTAAGACTGCTCTGTACATTCTGGTGTGTTGCACATATGTGATGTTCAGAACGAATTAAAAAAGTAATAACTCAGCACTCCTCTTTGGGGTTGAGTCCAAAGACTTGAGATTAAGACAAAGAGTTGGTCCACAGACAATACAGCAATGCGAGTG